TACATTCATGAAATGTTCAAAAAGATTTCTAGCATTTTAAAGTTTAAGGTTAAACGATTTCTACATCAAAATCTTGTCGTTGATAGATGCTATAGCTCAGATGAATCTCAAAAAACTGTGACTTTATACTTAAAACCAGTTTTGTTTGTTTGTTTGTTTGTTTGTTTGTTTGTTTGAAACAGGGTCTCTCTGTTATGTAGCTCTGCCTGTCTTGGAACTAGCTGTAGACCAGGCTGGCCTCAAACTCCCAGAGACCTACCTGTGAATGTCTTCCCAGGGCTGGGATTAAAGTTGTGAACCATCACATACCGCTGAGTAAAAAATACTTTTAAAGACATTGATTCTTCATTTGGGCCTACAGAATAACCAAAGCAGGTTGGATGAAGGCCTGGCATCTCTCTTATTTTGCATGTCTCCTTTGCTTCAGCTCAATCGCCTGCTAACCCTGCACATAAGCATGTTAATAACTCAAGGAATGCCTGTCTAAATGCCAAGGATGTCTGACCAACCTCATCCCCCTTTATGGCTGGAGGCAAAAATAAAGATAAGAGCAACTGAATTACCTTCCTATCAGCTTCTACAGGGTCCTGCACCACACACCCAAATGTTATTGTCCTAAACCCTCAGGCCCCTTGAAAAAACAGACAGATCACCCTATCGTGAGAACACCCCCAAGCAGGATCAGTCATATCCTAGGAACCAGCTAGTCCCCTCAAAAATAAAGATTTCTTTGAGCCACCTTCCAGAGCCAGACCTGAGATAACTATCAGCCAGACAGCATTCTAGCCAGAACTGCACACCTCACTCCCCGCCCCAAAAGCAGCTGTCAGTGCCCTGCAGATGGACGGTGTCTGTTTCTCTTCCTGGTATGCCACACAGATTAAATCTCCTTTCTCTGCTTTTCATTGTCTCATGCCTCCTTAACATATTTGAATAGACTGACCAGTCTAATCCCTTGGGACTCCCTGAGTCAAGACATTAGCTCTAAAATTCCCTAATAGCTTTATTGTTTTTTTTTTAATCATGATCCCTTCCTATCTGTATTAGTCAGGGTTCTCTAGAAGAACAATACTGGTGAGCTGGATGTATGTATGCATGTATGCATGTATACACATATGTATGGATGTATATGGATTTATTAATCCCATATAAGGTGGCTTACAGGCTGTAGTCCAGCTAGTCTAACAATGGTTGTCTCTTGACAGAAAATACAAGACTCCAATAGCTGTTCCACCCACAAGGCTAGATGTCTCATCTGATTTTCAGTGTATGTTGAGATTCCAAAGAAGGAGGCTCTAATGCTAGTGAAGAAATGAGAGCAGGAATGAGGCCAAGCAAGCAAAAAGTTAAAAACCACTTTCTTCCATACCATTTATATAAATTGCCATGAGAAAGTGTGACCCAAATTTAAAATGTTGTCTTCCTACCTCAAATGAAACAATTAATGCCTGGATTAAGTCATTGTAATATCCCATTGACTTTAATCACAGGACATGGCAACACCAAGAGAGGATATCCCGAATTCCAAACATAATCTTCTTTACCTCCACTATGGAGAATTAATCTGCTTTTCCCTTGGTAATCTAGATCAATCACCCCTCCTAATACTGTTATTCCTTTCTTAGCTTGTTTCCTTAAGGGCATCAGAAGGCCAAAGTAGCCAGGGGGACGTCTGAGCTTGCAGTTCAGTGAAACATTTGCTGTAGCTCCAGGAAGGAGTGCTCCCCTTGAAAGCCATTCATTCATTGATTTTGTTGTTGTTGTTGTTGTTGCTTTGTTTTGTTTTGTTTTGTTTTCAAGAGAGGGTTTCTCTGTGTAACAGCTCTAGCTGTCCTGGAACTTAATCTGTAGACTAGGCTGGCCCCAAACTCACAGAGATCCACCTGCCTCTGGCTCCCGAGTGCTGGGGTTAAAGGCGTGCACCACCACCGCCCATCTCATTCATTTTTAAAGAACACAACAAAATAATAAGATAAAGCAAAAACTACCATATTGAAGTCAGATGAGACAGACCAACAAGAGAAGAGCCCAAAAGAAGATGCAAGAGTCAAAGCAGACATCAAGACTAGTCAGAGACCCACTTGTTCACACACTCAAGAATCTCATAAAAACACTAAACTGGAAACCATAATATAAGCTCAGAGGACCTGGCACAGACCCAGGTAGGCCATGTGCATGCTGCTTCAGTCTCTGTGGGTTCATATTAGCTTTGCTCATGTTGATTTAGAGGGCCTACTGGTGTCCCAGAGCAGGTGGGAAGGAAGGAAGAGGTGGGTCTGGGAATGTCACTGGTGTCTGAATAGCTTTTCTGCTGATTAGTCAATTCCACTCTCCTACTGCACCCGTGGTTTCAACCAGACAAATTATGAATGGTAAATACAATTACTAAAACCTAACTAAATGCAGTTTGGAGAGACAATGTGAATCACTCCAATTTTTTTGTTTGTTTGTTTGTTTTGGAAGAGTAATGTTAAAGATAACCGTCTAAGGTACATGGTGCAACGTGACAAAATGTGGCCACAGGGTGGCACCATGTAGCCAGTCAACAGACAGTTCCCATCATTAGGGTCTTACAGCCCAGCCTTCACATGTGTTTTTTGTGAAGTTCCTGTTTTAAAGTCTTCATCCCTGAGATTTCTCCTCTCTGGGAGCCAGAGCTGAGAGATACAAGGAAAAACTGACATCTAAGGATCTGTGAGGTAGATTACAGGTCATGGACATGTAAGACCAACGGTCACAAAAGTCTGAGCACCAAGAACGGACACATAGCCAGGCATGACAGCACATGTTTGTGATCCCAGCACTTGGGAGGCTGATACAGAAGTATTTCTGTGAGTTTGAGGACAAATCAGACTACATAGGGAGTTTCATGCCAGCTTAGATGACATAGCAAGACCCTGTCTCAAAAAGAAAAAAAAAAAGAGTATACACACACACACTCACACACACACTCACACACACACATATAAGTCCCTCTTACTACTTTATCCACATACAGGTTCTTACACAAACACACACACACAAACTCGAGAGGTGGGGGAGGCTAGACATAGTCTTGATGTCTGCCCTGACATATATGTATGCACTCTTCAGAAGTATATTATATCAAATAAAATAGAGTCACTTTGAAATTTTGAGGCATCACTCTTAGACCTGTCTCTCTCAGAGCCAGGTGGAAGGAATCAAGTCCCATTTCTCAATCTCCTTTTAGATATCAAAAGATCTAGTACCATATTCATGTGGGATAATTTCAGTGCCAGCAAGATCACAGTTATGCCCACCATACAATGAATAATAAATGAGAGTGCACAGGTAAGTGGACTGGAAAGGGGATCAGGAGGTTGAGTGGCTTTATCCCTCCTTTGGGGAAAAAAGTTCTTGTGGGCCTGCCTATCTCCCTTCCTTCTTTCCTCTAGCTATAGTTTGAATGTGTGCTTAAAGTATTCTGTACGGGGGTGACATAGATCAGTTGTGGGAGCATACATGAAGCCCTGGATAACACTCCAGCACTACATAAACCAGGTATCTCATGCCTGAAATCCCAGTACTCAAGAAATGAAGGCAAAAGGATCATAAATTCAAGGTCATCCTTGGATAAATAGTGAGTTCAAGGCTATCCTAGACTACAGGGTCTCCCACCTCGTGTGTGTGTGTGTGTGTGTGTGTGTTAATGCCCAAATTGATATGATAATATTAATTGTGGGCAGGTTAGACAAATTCATCAAGGTGGAGCCTCTACACACAACTGTTGTCTCTAGATGAAGAAAGACACACAAACTAGCACACCTACTCTATCTTGTCACATGATGGTGCCATGGACCATGCCATGACACTGCAAGAAACCCCTTTACAACACCCTGGACACACTAGGCAAATAAACAACTCTTCTTTGTAAGTTATCCACTCTTGAATTATTTTTGTTTGTTTTAGTAATAGAAAACACACTAAAAGATACCTCTTTTTTCCCCCCTAAATAACCTAAGATAGGTTACATTGAACATTTCCTCTTGCCACTTGCTGTTTTTCATGGATATATCATGTCATTAGTACATGAAAGTCTACTCACATCCCATTACCTGTCTCTCTGGTATTCCACTCTGGGTGGCTGTTCTAGCTCCCTTTCTGTTGCTGTCATAAAATGCCCTGATTAAAAAAAAAAAAAAAAAAGCAACATAGAGAAGAAAGTCTTATTCAGCTCACAATTGTAGATCAAAGTTCATCATAACAGGAAGTCAAGGCAGCGGGTACCTACAACAGCTAGTCACATCCACAGTCAAGAGCGGAGAGAAATGAATGTGTGGTTGCCTATTACTGGGCTAGCTGTCTCTACTCTTACACAGCCCAGGTGCCCCCAGACCAGGAAATGGTGC